AGTTTCATACAAAATATAGGAAAAAACACGTCTTCTCATGTATTTTAGCATCCAAGACTTACCTGCTACACAAGCTTAACAAAGTCTCTAGCCAAAAACTCTCAGAGAAGAGGTACAGTACTTGGTTATTAGTTACAACTACATAACCCATAAAAACTGACTACATGGTGGCTAAAACTCTACTGAGAGGCTGGGCATATAATCCTCCCATTATATTGCCAATATTCCAAGACTTACCTGCTACACAAGCTTAACAAAGTCTCTAGCCAAAAACTCTCAGAGAAGAGGTACAGTACTTGGTTATTAGTTACAACTACATAACCCATAAAAACTGACTACATGGTGGCTAAAACTCTACTGAGAGGCTGGGCATATAATCCTCCCATTATATTGCCAATATCTACCCCCCCACTGAGTATCTAGCATACACACGCCAATAGGTGGCAGTAAATAGCAGTATACGTGCAAACTAAAAAACTAAGTCACACGATTTACTTAGCCATAACAATATTGTTTTGCAGATAACGAGATGAATCCTTCCCATGAGAAAATCCTAACAGCCATCAGTGACCTTCTTTCCCCAAGCCACATCCAAATTGTCCTTATTTAAGAAATAGTGTTGTTAAAGAACGTGGTGCCCCTCGCCCAAGCCTGCTTTGCTGCTCCTCTCTCCCCGGCCCTGCTTCCTCCTCTGCCTTGACATGTAGACTGTACGCCTGCAGGAAGGGGCCATCGGGCTCCCTTTCCACCCATGCCAGCTTTCTGGCTGAACAGTGATGCCAGTGAAACTCCTCCCCCCCCCCCCCAGGGCTGTTGAAAGGCCCACAAGGCTCTTGGGGTGCAGCAACTTAATGGGGGGATCACTCAGTCAGGGTGTCCCTCCCTGTCCCCGTGGAGCAAGAATCAAGGCCTCAGATATTTCCACATTACAAGGAAGTGGCCCTTCCCACAACGACTAAATCTCTGAGCTGCTTCCTGCGAAACCGCAGCTTTCGCAGCTTGAAACAGAGGACAGTTTGTGCCTTAACCATGATTGTACCAGAGAGCTAAACAGCACAAAGAGAAAAATATGTACACAGCACAATTTTGTTGTGTTGTTGGGTTGCACCATTAGCATTCTAGCCATACCTCTGAGGAGCTGACTGCGATACCCATGGCTCTTCCCAGCTCCCATTTTATCCTCACAACAATCCTGTGTGGTAGGAGCAGGATTATCCAGTGAGGTTTGTGGATGGGAAATTGAACCTCCAGTCCCCACAAGCTCTCTGGTCTAAGCCTCCAGGTTCTACCTACGCCCTCCTGCTTGGTGCTACCCTTTTGCCAGGACAAGGAATGGCATTCCCCACCTTCATTTCAGAAAGAGAGGGGAGGAGGATCCTCAGGCATCTGGAACTAAACCACAAAGACAAAGCCCAAGAAACCCCGGATGGCAATTTCAGCTTCCAAGCTCATCCCTGCTTCCTCAGCCCCGGGACAGTTGCCTGTGAAGGAAACAGGTCTCTCTGCTTTGCCACTGAGCTGTGACTTGGGCACCTGAAGAGGACATTGCCTAGAGCCATGGTTTCATTTTGTCTTGTGTGAAACCACCCAGCTGTGGTTTACTCGGAAAACCATGCTTGCTTTGTCCTGCTCCTATCCTTCTGTTTTACTGATTTTTCTGATTCTTTTGTGAAGAATCAATTAAATGGAAAGTGATCATGCTGCAAGCATCAGCCTTAAAACGCATTGTCTTTATTTTTGAGATTTGTTTTTTCTGAGTCCCGCATGTCCTCAGAGGCATCCTCAGGGCTGACCCACCTGACCAGGTTGCCCCAGCCTGAGCACAGACCATCATCCATTTCTCAAGGGGAGGGACGCGCAGCATCACGCTCTGTCCACCCCCAGCCCCCCAGGAAGGCAATTCTCCCCATCTTTTTCTGCTATGTTATCTAACGCAATTCATTGTGGGAACTTGATCAGTTTCACAGTCCCCATCAAAAGTGATTTTATAATAGAAAGGAAGATTATTTGCTGCTTAAGGAAATATATGATAAATAGGCTTAAATTATGGAAAGCTTTGTGTGAATATGGAACTGAAAATTAGTTGCTGAAAGGGAATGGTCATACCATGCACAGGGAAGCGGACAAGATACACTGGACACCTTTCAAGGGAGGAGAGGTGGTCGCAGTGGGGCTCCTTTTGACTCACGACTGCTGACTGCAAATTGAGCAGAACCATCCCACCAAATGGACTTTTGGGTCCTGTGCACTGATGTGGCTGAATGACGAGTCACTCTGATGATGGTTCAAAGGACTATGCCCTCCATCCCTTCCCTTGATCTGCCACTCCTGTCGTACTTCCAAATGGGCTAGGACGACCTGACTCCAGTCTTGTGTCCTCCAGGGAAGAGCAGTGGGGAGCAGAGTGGGAGTGCGGGACCCACAATCGTGCGGGCGCTTTCACCTGTAAACCCTTCGCCCATTGGAGAAAGCTGCAATCAGCTCTGATGGAGCAGATCAAGTTCTCAAGAGGGAGTGTATGGGAATGGCGGGCGGGGGGGAGTCTCAGGCTACCTGTTTTGTAAGTAAATCAACTAGACTGCAGACAATGGAATCCCAAGAAGGACGTGAAAAGGTAGTACAACTGAAAACTGAAGACACCATCACAGGAGCAGTTGGACTGCCCCTGTTGCCTTTAAAACTCAGGCACCCCGAGTGGTGTGGAGCTGAAGACCTATTCCCTGAATTTGGGAGAGAAAACCATCTTACCTGTGCAAAGGTAGCTTCTTAGCCTGCCCAAAAATATGAACCACCCAGTCATTCAGGCAAAGCGAAAGGCGTTTATGAAGGGGGGTTGAGTCTTTTTATAGGGTACAGAAACAAATGATACATACATTCGGTATATGTGATATATCAGAAAGCAAGTAATCAAACAATAAAAGACACTGATTACACGTGAGAATTGAACAATAGAAAACACTGATTCCAGATAACATTCTGCAAGTGGCAAATGTA